ATATTTATATAAAAAGACTAATAATAGTATGTTATGCATCGATAGCAGCCACAGCTTTTCCAGGTTCTGCAGTTATCTGAACAAAATTATAGACATTCAGCACATTCCATTAAAAAAACAAAAAACAGAAAACAAAAAAAACCAAAGAAAAGAATAATATCCAGAAAACAGCAAAGTTCTGTTGCTGTTGTGGTACCTGCCACCATTTTTTCTATTAGCCTCTTAATCATCATCTGGAAAGAGAACATTCTAAAGTAATATCATTAAATGTAGCTCTGATAAAGCATGGTCCCTACTATGTATCATAAAGCAGGTACTAGATATTTTACATTCAAAGAGGTATGATACAGTACCGTCCTACATCAATAATACTAGATTCAGTTTTGGTTTGAAATTTACTTTGTCTTCAAATAAGATTGCTACCCCTGTTTTTTTCTGGGCTCCTGTCACATGGAGAATTGTTTTCTATCTTTTCACTTTCAGTCTATGGGCTTATTTTTGCACTAGGTGTGTTTCTTGTATTCAACATACTGCTACATTTTGCTTCTTATTCCATTTTGCCAGTCTATTTCTCTTGATTGGTGAGTTGAGGCCATTGACATTGCTGGTTATAACTGATATGTACTGACTTATTATTGACATGTTATTGGCCTTTTGTTGACTCTTTACTTTTTCACCTTCTCCTTTTAGTTTCTTGCCTTGCCTACTTGATTTGCTCTGTTGGGCCTCATGGTGTTGTTGCCTTCATTGTCTTTTTCTAGGATCTTGTTTAGAATTCCTTGTAGTGCTGGTTTGTTATTCATGTAGTTTCTCAGGTGTTCTTTGTCATGGAAGTGTCTTATTTCCCCATCCATTTTGAAAGAGAGTTTTGCAGGATACATCAGTCTAGGGTGGAGGTTATTCTCTTTTAGTACTTGAAATATCTCATTCCAGGCTCTCCTTGCCCCAAGGGTTTGTATTGAAAAGTCTGCTGTGATTCTGATGGGCTTTCCTTTATATGTGATTTGTTTCTTTTCTCTTACTGCTTGTAGTATTTTGTTCTTCTGCTGGGTTTCTGGCATCTTGATTATTATATGTCTAAGTGTAGATTCTTTTTTGATTGCAGCTAGTTGGGGTCCTATATGCCTCACTTATCTGAATGTCAAATTCTTCCCCTCTGTTTGGGAAGTTTTCTGTCATTAATTCTGCGAACAGCTTTTTAAAGTCATTTGTATTTTCTCCTGCTACTTCGTGTATTCCTATCAGTCTTATATTATTCTTCTTTGCATCATCTGAGAGTTGTTGGATCGATTTGTCATATCTCTTACTGTTTTTAAGAGACCTCTCTTTTCATGGTCACTGACTGCCATCTTATCTTCTATATCTGAGAGCCTATCTTCACATTCTTTTATTCTGTTGCGTACACTTTCAACAGAGTGTTTAATCTCCTGGATATCTGTTTGAATCTGTTTTATGGATTCCATTTCTTTCCTATGTTGAGTGTTTATTTTTTCCATTTCTTTCTTATGCTGGGCCTTCATGGCTTCTATCATGGTCCTGAGCTCATCTATTTTTTTGTCAGTTTCTGCTCTAGAGTCTCGAATCACGACTTCCATTTTGCTCACTATCTCTATGGTTATGTGGGAAATTATTTCCGTTTTGAATTTTTCTAGAGCCTGATTGATCTGTTTTGTTATTTCCTGTGCTTTGATTTCAGGGTGTCCTGGTGGTTCACTATCGGCCTTTTCATCCTCATTTGCCCTACTGTTTGCCATTGGTAAACTGGAAGTCTGTCTTTGTGTCTTGCTTAAGTGTTTTCTCATTTTAATTTTTGTTGTCGGACTGTCCTTGGTTTACTCTCTGGATTATCACCCAAATCTTCTGATACAGTTGCACCTTAGCTTCTGTGTCTCTAACGACCCACAGACATTCTCATCTTCATAACATCAGAGAAAACACCTCATCAAATCAACCACAATGCTTTACCCCAACTGATACAATCAGCAACACATTAAGATCAGCACAACTTGGACACTGACCAACTGTGGTAGTCACTAATCTATCACCCTTAAATCATTTGAATTAAATTGAAATCAAGAAGCAGACCAGAACATGTCTGCAGTGAACAAAATTTAAATATAGTGTATTTACCATTTAATGGCTCAGACAGAGCGAGGATGCAAGACCCCTGATCTCAGTTAGCTGATGGCTGAACCCCATGATGCTGACTGACCTCGGGCTGCAAGGCCCAGATTGAGTTCCCCAACCTTCTGAATGGTTGAACTCCACAACGTTCTATTACAGGTTTCCCACACCCTTTCTTTAAAGATGTTTAAAGTTGGGAACTCAGAAAAATACCCTTGATGACCACCTCTGCCTCTGCAGAGTGGGTCCAAAGACTGGCACAGTCAGGAGGTCTGAGAGTGCAGGGAGGGGATAGGGTTCAGGGCGCTACCTTCCCGGCGCTTGAGCGATGGCGTCTGGTTTGGGAGCAGGCGTGGTTCTCCTTCCCGCGGTGGATCGGGGCCTGGCCTACCTCCTGGCGCTTGAGCGATGGCATCTGGGTCTTCCCACATAACATATTCTAATGGGTTGAATTTAAGATAAAACTTTTACCCTGGCAAATTAAAAGAAAACTTCGTTTAAAAATGTATCAGTAAGCCAGGTGTGGTAGTGCACAACTGTAATCCAGCACTTGGGAGACTGAGGCAGGAGGATCAATGTGAGTTCAAGACCAGCCTGGGCTACATAGTGAGTTCAGGCCAGTCTGAACTACCAGAGTGAAACTCTGTCTCAAAAAATAAAAAATAAAAAAGTAGAGGGCTGGGGATTTAGCTCAGTGGTTCTGCTGCCTGCCTCACAAGCACAAGGACCCAAGTTCTATCTCCAGTGCCCCCCCCAAAGTATCAGTAGAGGACTGGGCATGTAACTCATCTTGGTGGTAGAGTACTTGCTTAGCATGTGTAAGGTCCTGAGTTTGATCCCCAGTACTTCAAAAAATAAATAATTTTAAAATCAGTAAAATAGGTAACAAAAAGAATCAATCACATCATAGTCCTCAGACTGACATGAATTTCTCTTATAAAATGTTTCTCAGATATTTAAGTGACCAGGAATTTTAGGTTCTGCTGGGATATTTCATTACATGGAAATTTAGTGGCAAAAATATCTAGATGTTAAAAATAGATTCACAGGGGCCAGGAATTTATTTCAGTGGTGCCACCACCTGCCTTGCAAGTAGAAGGTCCCAAGTTTGATCCCCAGTGCTCCCCCCAAAAAATAGATTCACAGGAACTGGGAAGATTTGACTATTTGTGTTAAAGACATCAAATATTGAAAAGATCCAAATTATGAGCTGTTTTGAACAAAATGGATTTGATATGATTATGGGAAAAGAAAAAAAAACCCTGCAAGGGACAAAAAGATGTTGATAAATGATAAGCAGCGTTCAACAAGGAAATTCAAAGAGATATTTTAATGAATCATTTACTTCTGATTCTCATTTCTCAACTAGAAAAACGGGGGGGGACAAGGGGAAAAGAAATAGAGAGAGCAGTACTTGAAACCACTACTTAGACACCACAGTTAGAGATGACTCACCACACGTACTCTATCTCCCCTTATTGTATATATTTTTAAGAGAATGAAACAGTTTCCATCACCAAGGATTTTAACAACACACCTCCATTATGACAAATTACCTCGGTCCATCTTGAAGAACAAAGCCAAGGTGAGTGTCCCTTCCTACTCATATTTGAATATTTCTTTATTTACTTATTTATTTTTGGTACCAGAGATCAAACTCAGGATCTTGTGCTTGTGAGGCAGGCGGTTGGATTTTTAAATTTTGTAAACAAATAGTAGCTTTTGTATGTGTGTGTGTGGCACTGTGGTAGGGATTGAACCCAATGCCTCACTCATGGTAGGCAAGTGATAGTGGGTTTGAAATACATGATTAATTCACTCATCACAGAATTGAGTGAAATGCAAGATTTTGCATTTCTTTTATTGTTTCTTTAGAGATAGTCACTGTATATCTTACAATACAACCACATCAAATGCATTTTCAACTACTGTATAAAACATAGGTCTAGGGCTGGGTATTTAGCTCAGTGGTTCCACCACCTACCTCACAAGTGCAAGGTCCTGAGTTTGATCCCTGGTACCAAAAAATAAAATAAAATAAAACATAACCTTGAATGGAATGTCCAGTGTTTTATAATGATTTTATACTCTATAGATTTCCCTGAGATATTTAGAATGTTTAACAAAAGAACATAACTGAGTAAGATGAATACACTTTTTCTTTTGGTTCTTTCTAGTGAGTGATCTTTGCCTGAGATCTGAAAACATTAGTTTGCATTTCACATATAATAAAATTTATGTCCTGCATACAAAACCATCTGTGCTTCGGCTGTTCTTATCACTTGCTTAAAAATCTTGTTTTCATTGTTCAGTATCAATGTGTTTCATACAATTACTGGCTTTCACCCTGACATTTTTGTTTTCTGTCCCCTTCTCTCCTTCCTTCCTTTTTTTTTCTGGTACTGGGGATCGAACTCAGGCCCTTGTGCTTGCAAGACCGGCAGTGGAACCACTGAGCTAAATCCCTGGCCCTCTCCTTATTTCCTGGTGCCCATTTTCTCTGTCTCTAAAGAAATGGACAAGAATGAGTTAAAATCAAGGCTTAAACTCTCAAGCACTACAACGAATAATAGGAGAATAATGAAGACATAGCAAAGAAAGGCAAAGGAGGAAAACAGATGTGTTAATTCTCAATGCTAAGAGGTAGGAATAAAGGACAATAAAAGAAAGAGTAGGAAGGAAAACATTAGGGAAGGAGGAACTTAAAAATAGCAACATTAAAAATAAGAACCAAGGGCTGGGGATTTAGATCGGTGGTTCTACCTCATGAGTGCAAAGTTCGGAGTTCGAATCCTAGTACAAAAAAAAAAGGAACCAAGATGTAAAGGTACAAATTCCCATTGATGAATGTCATTATACTATAGCCATGGAACAAGAATTCTAGGAGCTTAAAATGGGAAACACCTTAGACATTGTCACTCTCAAATCTATTAAGGTGTTTGAATTCCACTGAGTGGTTGTCTTCATCAAGACTGAGCACCTCCAATTAAAAGGATATCCTTTATTTCCTTGACTAGTTTTGGACAGCTCAGTCTTTCCTTATGTAGAGAATCTAAAAAGTCAGAAATAACACTTCAACACATAATGTTCCTTCCGCTTTTAATGCAGTTGACATCATCACAAATCTAAGTTGCTCTTAATAAATGAGCCTCTGAATGACTCTATAAGAAACTGAGCTGAAGTAATGCATAAAGCATTCAAGCTGAAACATGCAGGCTTATGGAGAATACCACTTTCATAAGAATATCAGGGCAAAGAAGGAGCGACAGAAAGGGAGAAGGTGTGTGCTGGAGATATGTCCACATGCCCGCCAGTTGGCCTTCACGTTTCATTTCAAGTTCGTGTCTGTGAAACTGTAAATTAAATATGCCTTGAAATGACAAGAAGTACCACATTTGGGTTGGAGGAAGGGTGAATTTTAATCAGGGCTAAAGTCAAGACCCGAACCCCTTTAACCCTATTACATTTGATTGTTAGTTTTAGTTCATCTCTTCACAGCGCAAATGTTTCGAGATCCAAATTTCCTCTTCATTTCATGGCGCCTAGGAATTTGGTAAATAAATAAATACATAAAACAGCTCTGTGTCTTTCACGAAGTTGACTATGGTTCCCTCAAGATGAAGCCCTCCAAGCAGGTTTACTTAGCTATTTAGCCTTTACATTTGAGCATCCAGTCAGTTTGATTTGCCTAATCGCTTCTCTTCTTCCATTTTTCACAGAAGAAGCCAAACGCCACTCGATCTGCTGACCTAGAAACCCATTTTCCACGAAATCCTTGCTAGCAGAGACTTGTTCTTAGAGGGCCCTTGTTGCCCCCCGCTGGTCACTGCTTCCGCCTCTGTGCGTCCTCCAGTCTATAGAATCACGAACCGGAACACGGAAGAGTCTCTGTCTTCCGCATTCCGAGAGCGAAGCGAGCTCTTCCGGTTCCCAGCCACCTGTCCTCGTCTGTGTTATTTCCGGACCCTCAGAGCTCACTAATGTGCTCGGTGACGTGTCCTCCACGTTCTCAGTTTGCACAGAAAGCGTGAGAGCCGAAGGTCTGAACTCAAGTGGGGCAACCGTGTACTCTCTTCCAGTCTTTCGGTCCTTTTGGGTTTCAGCTTGCTCTTCGCAGTGTCCCTTTCCCACTTTTCCTGCAGGTTCTGTTTCATTTATGTCTCCCGCAAACATGGCCTTGCCGTTTTCTCTCACCAACTCTACACGTCCTTTCGTTCATCCTTAACATTATTTTGTAATTTTTTTTCATTTGTGATGTTAACCTTTCAGATTGTGTGCTTACGACTATCCTAGCAAGTTGTGCTGTTTTTCTTTTTTTAATATCTATTTCCTACACGTAAGCCTTTCTACTATCTAAATTCACGACTGGCAAAAGTCCTCCGCTACAACATCCATCTTCTTTTCTTTCTTCCTCCGTTCTCCCTAGATTCCCCATCTCTCTCACTGTTTTTCTGTTACTACTGTTACACTGTTCACCCTTTCACTTTTCAAAAATTTAAAGCACAGATGTAAATAAATTAACTTAGCTTTTGCTCCCTAGGTATTGGTGATATTTCGAAATCCAAAAGATACTGCCGTGTCTTTTTTTCATTTTCACAATGATGTCCCCGATATTCCAAGCTATGCCTCCTGGAACGAATTCTTCAAGCAGTTCATGAAAGGACAAGGTACAGCTGTCAGTAAAAGAATTCTTACCTCAACAGATGGATGCCTAAATGGGAAACTCCTTAGTACTTTAGAGTAAAGAAAGAAATATATATCCAGGAACCAAAAATTACATTAAATAGCGTGTGATGCCACCACTAATTCTGTGCACCAAATAATTACAATGCATTTAAAAATAATCTGAACAATTCATTTGTTAACTATGAATATCGTGTGGCTATAGATTGGTTCCAAGAAAAACAAAAAACAAAACAAAAAAACCTTTCACAGAGTCACAGAGAAAGGCATTTCTAGTTCTTTTTCCTTAAGTCATTGTATAACACAATAATTAAAAACCAAAAAGCTCTTTAAAACCCTGGCTCTGAGTGACTACACCTAAGATATTTGTTTGCCAGAAAGGAAATTAGTTTTTGTTAGACCATGTTAATGTTTATCTCTGGTTATGGAAAAACCACAATTTTGTGAGTGTCTAATACTTCTTTAGGTACTAAATTAGGTGTTATATATGCATGATTTCACTTAAGTCTCATAGCAAACTATAAGTAAAGCCCCTGTTTACAAACCAGGAAACTAAACAAAAAAGTTAAATCAATTGCCAGTTGTTCCACTGCTCATAAGTAATTCTGCCTCTCTGAGAACAGCAGCCAGACAGCCATAAATAACCCCATCAATTAGTGGTGGCCTTGAACCATTATAATGTTATGGATGGTATAGTTGATGACAGGTGACCCCAGAGGAGAAGCTGTTGTCAGTTCACTCTAAGAAAACCACTCTTCCTTTTTGATAAAAAAGTTGCTTTTTTAATCATGTATTTACATATGTACAGTGAAGTGATTATTACAGTCAAGAACATTAGTATAGCCTTTTGATGTGTGCAGAGAGAACACCAAAAGTCTACTCTTTTAGCAACTGTTAGGTATACCATATTACTAACCATAGTCTTGAGGCTGTATGTAAGATCTGTAAACATTAATAACTAATTGAATAATTCAAAATGGTATCACTATAAGTTTGTACCCTTTCACCTGTATCTTCCCATTCCTTTCCCTTCTTCATCCCTGGAAAACACCACCCTACTCTGTTTCTATGCATTCAGCTTTCTTTTTAGGCTCTACATGTGAGATTATGTAGCATTTGTTTCTGTGTCATATCCCTGCAAATGGCAGGGTAGCCTGCTTTCCAAATAGCATTCCATTGCATAGATAAAAGTTGCAGTTTGAAAAGAGCACATTAAAGGTGATCAGCACAACAAAATTCACACATCTCACGTGCATGGACCCTGGATGCAGTGGTGGCTCCCAAGCAAAAATTAAATATAGGGGTTGAAGAAAGAAATCCCATGGAAAGTACCTATGAAACACCATTACAATCCTCCTGTGGGTCCTCGTGCCTTCTGTGGGTCCTCGTGCCTTCGCCTCCCAACTTCAGGGATTACAGGCCTGCACCCCACACCCAGCTGTCCTGTATATTTTCTCAAATAATTTTCACAATTTGTTTACTTGTATTATTTAAGGAAACTGTTCAAGAAGATAAGAAAATAGAAATTGAACAGTGGAACTGGTGTATATCACCTCTTTTTGGTACAGGGATTTGTAATAATCAGATCTTGTGTGAGCACATACATATATGTATAGTTTATATTTTATAGCATAAATTAGCCACCTGATATCTCTACCTCAGTTATGTAAAATTCCTTATGAAGTTTTCCTCCCTGTGTTTTTAGTTTCTTGGGGAAGCTATTTTGATTTTGCAATTAACTGGAACAAGCATCTTGATGATGAAAATGTCAAGCTCATATTATATGAAGACCTGAAAGAGGTAAGACTATGATTGTTGAGATTCTAGAGAAAGATTTATTATAAATTGCTACATAAATTATTATTTATAATGTCTTGTTATATGAAAAATATGGTGTTCAACTTAAAAATATTCCAGATATGCAGTACAGTACTTTAAAAAAAAATCCAGCCACATATATATGGCTAGATTGTTTATTTAACAGAAATAAAATAAAGCTTAACAACTTATGGAAGTTATTATAGTTTCCCTTTATTGTGGATAGCTCAAATTTTTCCATTAATAATGGAAAAAATAAAAAGTCTCAGATGATTTAATTAAACATGCACTTGGTTGTGAAGTGCTTTTAGCCAATAAATGTTCTTTTAAAAATTTTTTGTTCACTTAACAAACATTGAGTGGGAGACTTAGCTTTATTTTAGGCCCAGGTGATAAGTCCTTGAACAAATCAGACAAGGTTCACTGCTCTTGATAAGCTTCCTTTCTAGCTGGAGAAAGCAGGGAGGCGGAATGATAAATAACAGGGCTGGGGATTTATTAGCTCAGTGGTGCCATGCCTCTCTCAAAAGAGCAAGGCCCTGAGTTTCAAAGTCTTGGTTCCTTGGGACAAAAATAAATAAATGAATAGGGCCAGGGATTTGGCTCAGTGGTTCCGCTGCCTGCCTCGCAAGCTCAAGGACTTGAGTTCAATCCCTGGTACCAAAATAAATAAATGAATAAATAAACAAATGAATAAATAAGAGATTAAACAAAATGTAAAATGCATATGGTATGTAAGAAGAAGGAATCAGCATACCTGTTAAAGAAAATTGGAAATGCCAGGGGTGGGGAATTGGTGGACAAATCCCAGGATAAAATAGGATGGTACAAGATGTTCTCCTTAAGTTGATGTGATTTAAGCAACAATTTAAAGAAAGTGAGAGTGATCCAAATTAGTAACTGGGGGAAGAGCACTCTGGGTGGAGGAACCCTGATGAAGATCCCTGTAGTCAGGTTCCAGTACCCACCTGCCCAGTATATGACGCAGGCCTGAGAAAAAGATACACTGAGAGAGAGAACTAAGAGAGAGAAAGCAGGGTCCCAGGATGATCAATGCCGGTGCAACTGACAAAGGTGCTGGACAGTCCCAGTTGCTGACTTTTATTGGCAATCAGTTGGGATAAAGGTGATGTGTGATTACTATGGAAATTAATGTAAACAAGGCTCAGAAAGGACAAGAGAAAGCATTCTCAAATTAGAAACGAAATAGACAAAATATATGATTGTAATTAGAACATTGTCCTTCTAGCCTGAAGGTTTTGATTGTGGGAACAGAATTTGGATGCGAGTTACTCTGACCTCAGCATGTAGGCTTCAGCCAGACTCACTTCTATAAAACCAGCCCATTGTGGGTTTCTCTCTTTACAGCTTGCTTTGAGGATATTCAATTATCACAGTCCTCTGCAAAACCAACTGGTACAAAGGCCCTGAGCTAGCTGCCGCTGGTGTAACTGAGGTGCAGCAAGGAAGCAAATGTGCCTTGGCCAGTGGGAGTAAACTAAGACAGCATTGCCAATGAGGGCGGCATGGGGCATAAGGAATGTGGCAGACCACTGAAATGAGCCTGGCTTTCACTTCAAATGATATGGGAAGGTATTGTAGTATTTGAGCAGAAGAATTGACAGGAGGTGATGTGTATCAATCTAGGGTGTGTGATACTGGGATTGATGGTATGTGATAACTGAATAGGTTTAACATAGTTCAGGGTGTAGATAAAGGAAGCCCCACTGTGGTTATGTATGGCACCGATCAATATACGTATAGCCTGGGTGGAATATAAGGGGGAAAGAGGGAAGGCAGGCTGCTGCTGCTGCTCCTTGCTGCCTTGCTGCCTCCTGCCTGCTCTGCCATGGACTGTTTCTCCTCTGTGATGCCCCTCTGCCATGTCACCCTGCCTTGGAGCCAGCTGACTATGGACTGAAACCTCTACAAACTGTGAACTGAAATAAACCTTTCCTCCTTTAACTTGTGGGTGTCAAGGAGCATGTATCAGCAATGAAAAAGTAACTAGGACATGCTACTATCATTATTTATATTCTAAATAAAAGTCATAAATTAAAACAACAAAATACAATGGGTATAGAACATTTTCTAGTGATACCTGATCTACTTATAAAGCACCAAAGTAAGACTGAAGACAGATAAGTGGGTGAATTAGGCAGTTAGGTTGAATAAATCTGCCCTGATTTAAGAGGAAGGTCTTTGCTCCAGCATATTCCCATGGAAAAACATTTCTCTTTTAAAAGTTTGGTTTTTATGTAGGGGAAGTGGGAAAGGTAGAGGAAAGGAAATAAGGGAAAAGAAAAAAATATAAGAAATGAAAAAATGGAAATAAAGTGTTTGTAAATAGGGAAGGGAGGAGGGGGTGTAGGGAGGGCAGGGGTAAGGGGAAAAAATGAGAACCAAGACCTGTCATCTAAAGGTATAACATCCCAGTGATGAATGTAACTGTACTGTATACCTAAAATGTACCAATAAACTCAATAAGAAAAATAAATACATAAATAAAATAAAATTTTGGTTTTCAGAACCTGGACACTGGCATAAAAGAAATAGCTGAATTCCTTAAATTCTCTCTAACTGGGGAGCAGATTCAAACTATCTCTGCCCAGAGCACCTTTCAAGCAATGCGAGAAAAGTCTCAGAAGACGCATGGCCCTGTTGGCCCCTTCCTGTTCCGCAAAGGTAAACTTGCTTAAGTTTTTTGAGATATTATATCAATTAGAGAATGATTTTGCACATGATAGACAATCCAAATAATTTTATCTTAAATAAGGCAGAGTTATATTTTGTGCTTTCTTAATAAGAAGCCTGGACCTAGGTAGTCCAGGGCTGTGTGGTGTCTCCACCCGATTTTCTTGTTCCTTCTACTGTTTGTTCCACCTTTCTGCTTGTCACCTTGTCATATCTTACACCTTGTGAAAGATAGGAGCTGGAGCTGCACCACAACATTCACACTCTAAGCAGGAAAAGGGAAAGAATCATGTACATTATCTAAATAAGTGAAATGGGCGAAAGCTTCCTGGGAGCCCTATCCAGTAACTTCCAACATTTCATCGATCTCCTCTCTCCCTGAAGTAGTAGTCAGAAATGTGATTTTATTTTTAAGCTGGACACAATATTACCAAATTAAAAATCAGGATTTTAATATGGAAGAAGAAAATGGATGTTGGGTAGGCAGTTAGATGTCTCTGACAGATGATTTTACTATTTCATTATTTCCAGTTCTTGTGGAAATATGTAATTATAGATCATAGAAATTGCTCATTCAAATTTTAATTAATTAATTAATTAATTTTATTTTATTATTATTATTTTTTGGTACCGGCGATTGAACTCGGGTCCTTGTGCTTGCAAGGCAGGCGCTGGAACCACTGAGCTAAATCCCCAGCCCTCAAATTTGAATTTTTAATGGAAATGTAAAAGAGCAAGATTTGAAGGCAGTACATATTCCAAGGACAGCAGTAAGTAGTGGGTATCTGCCGTGTTTTGAACACTTTGTAGGCATTAACCTTTGTCACAAAAAGGGTGTAAAATCCTTAATTTTACAAATGCAGGAAAGGATCCAAAGTTAAGGGATATTACTTTTCTACTATCATATAGCTAATAAACAAGAGGGTTAGGATTCAAGCCTAATCTATGTTATTCTACTGTGTTTTTTTGCTGGGGAATTAGCTCAGTGGTTCCGCCACTGGCCTCACAAGCTCAAGGACTCAGGTTCAATCCCCGGTACCAAAAACAAAACAAAATCCCAATAGTCTACTGTATTTTTTAAATTGAAGACCCATTTTAGAAATCTAGTGTAAGGAGAATAATGACTTTAAACCTGTCTTTAGTCTGAGTCCTGACTTACTGTAATTTTTATGCTTTGTTTTATTATGTTTAAGGAAGTGGAAATAGTATTTCTTATACATTGTTCACCAAGTGCTTTTCAGAATAGAAAAAAACTCTAAAGTCAATAAAGTAACGGTTTAAATTGTTCTGATGTTACTGGAAGGAATCTCAGGAAGCACAGAAAAATGTAGAAAAACATTGAAATAAAACACTGAACAGTTTTAAAATGTCATCAAAATTTAGAGTTTCTTGGGCTGGGGATTTAGCTCAGTGGGGCTGCCGCCTGCCTTGCAAGCAAAAACTCCTGAGATTGATCCCCGGAACCAAAGAAAGAATTTAGAATTTCTCCCTTCAGAGGCAGGTTTACTTGACATATTTCTTCCTAGCCTTATTCTGTTAATGTTCTAAACAGCTGATGACATTTATAATTTTTTACTTTATTTCACTGATATAGCAAAATCACTTTCTCATGTCATTAAACCCTCTTTAAATATACATTTTAAAGAGCATACAACATGAAATTTATAATTTAACCCCAAACCATCCAAAGAATCTAAAGCGAGAACCAACATTTCCTAACATCAGGCACAATTACCCAAAGTATGTTGAATATTCAGTACCTGATATCTTAACTGAAAACCCTGTCAAAACCCGAGTTTTCTAAGGTAAAGTATTTAAAAGACTTTAGAGACAAGACAAATATCACTCTCAATTAGTACAATTTTAGATTCCCACATACTTGGAGAGGAAGTAAAGATACTTGATCAGGGAGACTGAGACAAAACCCCCACCCTGAGACTTGAGGAAAGCTTGTCACCTGTGCTGCTGATGAGGGAGCCCCCATAGTCCACATTTTACATGAAAAACTATGTTTGTTTTTAAGACTAATTTCTTGTCGGTCCATGTTCGAAGTATTATGTGTACATTTCTCACGTGGAGCTGGTACATGTGCATAACACATCTTAATTCCTTTTTTCATCCTTTCTCCCACTCCTCCCTCCATCTCTTGATTCTCTTCCCATTTGCAAGAGATCTATCCTCCTATTTCCTCTTTTCTATTTTCATTTTCCTCTTTATTTATTATTTAGATTCTTCGCATAAGAGAAACCATGCCATATTTAAGCTTGTGTGACTAACTGATTTGTTTCACATAACAACATGGTCTCAGGTACATCCGTTTTCCTGCAAATGACTAAAGTTTTCTTTATTGCAGAGTAGTGCTCTATTGTGTATGAATACCATATTTTCTTTACCTGTTCATCTGTTGATGGACATATAGGCTACTTCTAGGATATAGCTATTACGTATTGTGCTGCTGTAGACATGAATATGTATGTGCACTGTAATATGATGTCTTTAATCCTTTGGGGAAGCTGTCTAGAAGGGGAATAGCTGGGTTAAATGGAATTTCTAGTTTTAGTTTTTTGAGAAATTGCCATACTAATTTCCATAATGGCTGTACTAGTTTACATTCCCACCACCAATGTAGGTGCATTCTTTTTCCGTCAGGCTTGCTAGTATTTATTATTTGATTTCTTGATGGTGGCCATTCTTTCAGGAGTAAGATAGAATCTTACTCTTGCTTTAATTTCATTTCTCTAGTTGCCAACACTATTAAACATTTCTTCGTGAATTTATTGGCCATTTATACTTCTTGTTCTATGAAGTATCCATTTCACTTGTCCATTTGTTCACTGTCTTTTCCTGAGTTTTTTTTTTTTTTTTTTTTTTTTTTGTTTTTTTTTTTTTTTTTTTTTTTTGAGTTCTTCAAATAGTTCAATATGTCTGGAGTTGTTTCCACATCCTCTGTTCTGGTCCACGGATCCTTATGTCTGTTTTGTGCCAGTACCATGCTGTTATAATATAACTTGAGGTTGGGGTAGTGATGTCTCCTTCTTTGCTTGGGTTACATAGGACTGCTTTTGCTGTTTTGTATCTCTTCTGGTCAAATACGAATTTTAGGGTTGGTTTCTCTAGTTCTGTGAAAAATGCTATTGATATTTTGATTGGTTAAATCTGTATATCAATTTTGGAAGTGTGGACATTTTGACTGTACTGGTTCTGCAGATCCAGGAACAGAGGATATCCTTCCATTTTCTGATGCCCTCTTTGTCTTTCTTTTTCAAGGGACTGTAGTTTTCACTGTAGCGATCTTTCACTTCCTTAGTTAGGTTAATTCCTAAGTATTTAATTTTTCTTGGTACTATTAGAAATGGTATTTTTTTTCCTAATTTATTTTTTAGTGGGCTCATTACTGGTGTAATGAATGTTATTTATTTTTATGTGTTGATTCTGTTCCAGGTACATTGCTGAATTTGGTTATTAATTCTAGGAGTCTGGTGGATTTTTTTTGGATCATATGTAGAGAATCATGTCATGTGCAAATAATGATAATTTGACTCCTTCTTTTCCTATACAGGTCCCTTTTATTTCTTTTTCTTGCCTAATTGTTCTTGCTAATGTTTCAAGTACTACGTTGAATAGGAGTTGTGACAGTGAACATCCTTGTCTACTTCCTGAATTTAAAGGGAAAACTTTCTCTTTTCTCTATTTAATATGATGGTAATAGTATGCTTGTCATAAATTACTTCTATCAGATTGAAATGAAGTCCTCAAGTTATATCCTAATAGCATGGTAATGGTACAAAAACAGACATGATAATCGGTGAAACAGAGTAGAGGATGCAGAAAAAAAAAACCCAGACATATTCAACTATTTGATCTTTTCTTTGGGATTTTTATCGTGAAAGGATATTGGATTTTGTCAAAGGCTTTTTCTACATCTATTGAGATGGTCCTATGATTTTTGTCTTTGTTTATGTTTATGTAATGCATTGCATTTATTGATTTGTGTGTGTTGAGCCATCCCTGCATCCTTGGGATAAAGCCTACTTGGTCATGAATGATGTATGATCTTGTTATGTTTTATAACTAGATATTCCTCAGAAGCTTCATGTGCTCCTAGGTGGGACTTTTGGGGAGGTGACTAGATCATAGATGTATGATAGCCATCAGTGGATTAGTCTACTGATGAGTTTATAGCTAAATGTGAGGTTGGGAGTGAAGCAGGGTTGGAGGAACTAGGCCACTGAGGTGTGGCCTAACAGGGCCTATCTCCCCTCCTCCTTGATCCTCTCTTCTTCCCACTGCCAGAATATGAGCTGTCTCTCCTCTGCCATGTTCCCCTGTCATGCTGTTCCACCTTGAAACTAGCTGACTATGGACTGAAACCTCTACAAACTATAAACCAAAAAAAAAAAAAAAAAAACCTTTCTTCCTTTAAGTTGTGAGTGTTGGGTATTGTGTCCCAGTGATGAGAAAAAAAACTAAGATGGATCTTTTTGATGATATATTATATTCTGTTTGTCACTACCTTGTTGAGAATTTATGCATCAATATTAATTAAAGAGACTTATCTATAGTTCTCTCTTTTGGTTGGATCCTTGTGTGGTTTTAGAATCAGGATAATAGTAGTTTCCAGGATTGGCTTTGGGAATACTCTTCCTTCAATTTAATTAAAGACTTTTAGGAGTATTGAGGTTTTATCTTCCCTGAAATTTTTGTAGAATTCATCAGTTATCCAATCTGGGCCTAGGCTTTTCTTCATTGATAGCTTTTTTTTTTTTTTTTTTTCCAAATTACTGCCTTAATTTAGTTGCTTGATTTTGGATTATTCTGGGTTTTTAATCTTCTTGGTTCAGTTTTGGTAATTCATATGTATGTAGGAATCTATCCATTTCTTCTGAATTCTCCAATTTATTGGAGTACAGGAGTAGTTATCAATCTTTTATTTCAATATGATTACACCTTTTGTATTTTTGATTGCATTGATTTGAGTCTTTTCCATCATTTTGGTTGTTTTTTAGATTGGCTAAGTGTTTGTCTATCTTATCCTTTTTTTTTTTGTACCGGGATCAAACTCAGGACCTTGCACTTGCAAGGCAGGAGGCAGAACCACTGAGCTAAATCCTGGCTCCTTATTTAAAAAAAAATTTTTATTTTTTTTTATATTTTTTTTTTTTTTTTTTTTTTTTTTTGTCTCAATATCTTTGATTTCTGCTCTGATCTTTGTAATTTCCCTCATTGTGCTAGCTTTGGGTTTGGCTTGTTCTTGTTTTTCTAGGATCCTGAGGTGTATCATTAGATTATTTATTTGGGCTCACTTTATTTTTTTGATATGAGAATTCACAACTATAAACTTCCCTCTTAGGACTGCTTTCATTGTGTCCCATAAGTTTGGGTATATCATGCTGGCATTATCATTTAGTTCCAACAACTGTCTTATTTTAATCCTTGATTTCTTCTGTAACCCATTGTTTGTTAAGAGTCTGTCATTTAATTTCCATGCATTGGCATGATTTCTGTTTTTTTTTTCTTGATTTCTAGTTTCATTGTCCTATGTTCTAATAATATGCATTGTATAATTTCAGTTTTTTTACATTTACTTAAGCTTGCTTTATTGGTTAGTAGGTGGTCTATTTTGGAGAAAGTTCTGTGTGCTGCTGAGATAAGAGATATTCTGTTTTTGTTGGGTGGAACAATATGTAGATATCTACTAAGTCCATGTGTTCAAAGATTTTATTTCACTCTCATCATTCTTCATGGTTTTTTGTCTAATTCTGTTTGTGATAGTGGGCTATTGAGGTTCCCTACTATAATTGTGTTTATGTTTATCTGGTCTCTTATATTCAGTAGTACTTGATTTCTGAATTTAAGTGTGTCATGATTTGGTGCATATATATAATAATTGATATCCTTTCCTGTTGGATTGTTCCCTTGACCACTGTGTAGTGACCATCTTTGCCACTTTTGATTAGTTTTGTCTTGAAGGCCAGTTTGTCTGAATATAGGATAGCTCCATCTGCTTTTATTTTTTGGTTCCTGTTGCAAGAAACATTTTTTTAATTTTATGAAAAAATAAAGCAAAATTTAATAACAAATTAGTAATAAAGTTTTGTGCTAAAATGTGTTTCTTGGGTTATATTTCTTCATCCATTCTACCAGTCTGTGTCTTTTGACTGGGGAACTGAGACCATTCACATTGAGAGTTATTACTTACAGGTTTGACTTATTCCTAGTGTTACCTTATTTTCCTGTGTATGATTTTCTATCTTTTCCTTCCATTTAACTACTCACCCTACCTGGTGTATTCATTCTATTAAACTTTTTGTCATTGTTAGCTTCACTCTCTCCTTTTAGGATATCCTTAAGAATGTTTTGGGGTGCTGGTTTGGTGGTCATGAATTTCTTTAGATGCTCTTTATCATGAAAATTTCTTATTTCTCCATGAATTTTGAATGATAGTTTTGACTGATATATTGGCCTGGGTTGGAAATTGTTTTGTTTTAGGGCTTAAAATATTTCACTTCAAGCTCTCCTTACCTTTAGGGAAGGAGAAATCTGCTGTAATTCTAATGGCTTTACCTTTATAAGTGATTTGTTGCTTTTCTCTAATTGCTTTTAAAATTCTGTTCTTGTGCTGGACTTCCAGGATTTTGACTCTGATGTGTCATGTAACTATGATGTGTCAACAATCTTTTCTGATTGTTATTTCCCCTTATTTGGAAATTTTTCTGTTATTACTTTAGTAAACAGTTTTCATGGTATTCATACTGTCTTCTGATTCTTCACTAATTCCAATTAATCTTACAGTAGTCTTCTTTGTATCATGTAGGAGCTGTTGCATCCATTTTTCATGTCTCTTGTTGTTTGTAATCTCTCATTAACTTGTCACTGAAAACAGTTCTACTTTCTAGTTCTGACACTCTGTCCTCACATTGGTCATGTCTGCTCTCCATACTTTTGGTAGAAGTTTTAATCTCCTGAACTTCTTTTTTGAGCCTTTAATTATTTTCTATGCTGGACATTCATGTTTTGCTTTGATTTGTTTAGCTCTGCTAGCTTTTTATTAGTGTCTTCTGCAGACTTGTTAATCATTACTTATATCTTCTATGAGCTTGCCAAATCCCTTCTTGATCTGTTGTGTTTTTGTTGTTGTTTTTGGTTACTGGGGATGTAACTCAGGACCTTGGACTTGCAAGACAGGCAGTGGAACCACTGAGCTAAATCCCCAGCCCACTTCTTGACCTGTTTTGATTTCTCTTCTAATATCATTCTAACAATTTGGCTGTATGACTTTTGGTTTTCTCCCTTTTTATTCCCCATGGATAAGCTTTAGGGGAGTTGGAGGTTTTGGAGGTACTTTTCTGTCTTCTCTTCTTATCTTTCTTGTTGGTGTGTGTGTGCATGTGTGTGTGTGTGTGTGTGTGTGTGTGTGTGTGTGTTTTGAAGCTTGCAGGTTGATTATAGTGAAAAGCTTTGTTGTTAGTATGGAGACCACTTTAGTTAATATCTATTTTTCAGTGGTATCCTCTGGGCACGGCTTACTATTGACTTTTGCTTCTATCCCAGGATTCAACAATCTGTGTTTACTTGGCATGAAATGTTTCAGCATATTGGCCCAGCACCCAGTTCTTCAGGGATGGGCTGCAGTATTGTTAGTGGCCTTAAGGAAATCCAGATATTGGCATCCCAAGAAAATCAATTAATAGCAACAAAATTGGCTATTATAATAGAGTCAGCATCAGTTATAGTATCAAAGACAACCTGAATGCTGATAAACCAACCCTAAGAACCAATAATGTAACACATTTAACCATAGAAAAGAGATCTATAATTATAGTGTGAGCACTAAGAAAAACAAAATATTGACCTACATTAAGGATCTGCTAAATGGAGCAACATTGTCTCTACTAACAATAAAGCGATATTCAATAGTAATAGTATAAAGTTGACTAGCTGTCTAGAGATTCATAAAGTTTAGTAGATATACTAGCAAAAGTAGAGAAGATAGAAAGCTAGAGAATGAGAAAAATAAAATTTAAAAAATTAATCAGTGGGCTATGAGAACAGAAAAGTGAGGTTGGGGGTCTTACTGAGGAGAAACAGGAAACTAATAGCTTTAGAAAACTGTTGCAGAAATAAGCAAACAAGAAAATGAAGAAAAAATAAAAAGAACAAAATATAGTAAATAAGAGAAAGATTAAGAAGAAAGAGAAAACAGTTGAAATTGAAAAGAAACTAAGGGTGGGCCGGGGATTTAGCTCAGCGGTTCGGTGGCCTGCCTTGCAAGTGCAAGGACCTGTGAGTTCGATCCCCGGTACCAAAAAATAAAAAAAAAAAAAAAAAGAAAGAAAAGAAACGAAAGTAAGGGAGAAAAACAGGTCAAAAGGAGAAAACCCTCCAACCCCCAAAAACCTAATGAAGGAAAGAAAATAATAATTTTTAACTTTTTTTTTTTTGAAACAGGATCTTACTATGTAGTTCAGACTGCCCTGAAACTCACTGTGTAGCCCAGGCTGGTCTCAAACTGTCAGTGATCTTCCTGCCTCAACCTCCTGGGTGCTGGGATTATAGGCTTGCACCACCACACCCAGCTAATTTTTTAAAATTAAAAAAGGATTGAGTCAGAGAAAAAGATTCCTCTGTGTTTTTGAATGATTAGTTTCTTTCCTGGATCTGCAAGACTTGGAATGTACCCAGTCATTTTTCCACCTACCTTTAGGGCATGTGGATTTTTAAGAAACCCTTCCTGCACCATAGGCCCTTAGTCCATTCACCCCATACTATGGTTACCATCTAAACCAAGACGTGACCTTGCTCACATAGATGGGAAACTCGAACAACCCCCTGATGTCTGCTGGATGTAGGGCTTGGGTTCAACCTGACTTTCACATTTAATGTCAACCCTCGTGGGGTCTAGTTTCTCCCTATTAAGCACAGGGCCATGTCCTACCCAGCCTGAGCTTACACTTCTTGGGGTGTGGGGTCAGATTCTATGTCTGGCTCATTCCCTCTCTGCAGTATTCTCCGGTTGTTGTCTCTCACCACATCGCTTTGTGAGGTTAACACTGGAGTCCCTGGAGTCTTTGGCCAAGTCTGTTCTTTCTCCCTGAGTCTGCTGGCTTTTTAGATTTACCTTTTCTCCCAAGACATGTCCTCATCTAGGATCAAGTTGGTTGGTCTTTCCAGTCCCCTGCCACCCCATGCCAAGGGGAAGCAAAATGTTGAGCTGGCTTGGGGTTGATGGATGGTTGTGCCCTTGTGTTGGTGGGCACTTAGTGCTCACATGGGCCTGTTTGCTTGTGTTGGGTGAGGGGAAGTTAAGACAAATTTTTATGTGTTTGTTCTCATATTTCAAAGTGAAATGTTGCACCTAAAAAGGGTGAAATTGGGGGATGGTGGTAAATTCAAGCATAAATATGCTTTTCTTGGGAGGGTTACTGGGAATTGAACTAAGGACTTGTGCTTATCAGGCAAGCTTGGCTTCATGGAACTATGTCCCTGGCCCAAGTAGAAATAGTCTAACAGGTGTCTGGCTCTGTTGTGCTTTATGTGTTGTAGGTGAAGTTGGTGACTGGAAAAACTTGTTCAGTGAAGCTCAGAACCAGGAAATGGATGCAAAATTCATAGAGTGTTTGGGAGGCACTTCCTTAGGAGCAAAGATGAAGTATGAATCATATTGCCAGGATTGAGCCTGGCTAAGGTGGCACGCGTGGATATCTTCTTTTCCTTAATAATAAATGAATTTAAATAATTAAATAATATTTAAATCAAACAAATAATGATAAGTAACATTTAAATCCAAATAATACAAAGAATGATAACATCTTAAATTTTTGAGTCTAATTTGTTTGTCTACTTTTTTAAAAAGGAAAAGCATTTATCTGTTCAAAAAGAAGTTATTGTTAATGCGTTATATGTGAGCTTCTTTCATGCTGAATTTGCAAACAAGAGCTTAAATAGACAGTATCGGAGTTATCAACCTACATCTGAGTTTGAACATAGATGAAATAGTTCTCCAAATGATGTATAATCTTTTTGTTCTTTTCTTGGAAAAAATGCTTATTTTTCTCACTACAGATCAAAGTATTTGTAGTGGCTATCTCAGACTTATTGTTCAGTAAAATTTAGTGGACTGTGTACTGACATAAGATTAATAAATCCTATTGTAATTTGGTAGAAGAAAAATGTATTGCTCATTTACTGTCTGTACGCCATGGTAGTAGGCCCTAAAGCGGCTCTACTTTCAAGAGGTTGTATATTTCTTAATAGAACCTTTAACTCAAAGATAAAGGTAAAAGTTTGTGTTGTTCTACTATAAAGGTTTTTCTGCCACAGAGCCCCAATATATGGAACCAATACAAGAAAGAAGAGAATATTCTAAAAGGAATCTCCTTACTTTCCATCTGTCAACTCTTTAATAACTTTTTATGTTTATTATTGCATGTTTGCTTACATAATGATTACATTCATAGTGAGGAGTTGGTATGTGTACATAACACATCTTATTTCTTTTTACTTCCCTTTTTGCCCTCCCCTCTCTTCTCCCTCCACTGCTAGTTTTCCTTACCCTATTTTTGTTTACCTACTTCTGCTCTAAAACTAAGCTATGTACAGTTAAGAATAGAATGATTCATAGAAATGTTTAAAAACTGCTTTGAGAAAGATTATAAGATTCTGATTTCTGGGAGTGTGACAAATTGGATAAACTGAAAACTCCCCCCTCAAAATGCCAAGAAATGATAAATAAAAATTCTTCAATTCTTCTTGTGTGTATTTCATCTTCCAATAAAGTAAGCAGAGTTGTCAAAAACTGAAAGCAAAGATGAAACAGAGAAGTAGAACAAGTAAAATCACAGATAATATTGAGCTGCCACAGAGGGACTTCTCTCTAATACAGAAACTTGGGTTTTTAACACCCAAGACCACATTAGTGTAAGAGAAGACAAAAAGACCAGTGTGATACAACAAAGCCACCAAACTAACAGTTTCATGTCAGAATGATTCACATACAACAGGTGTGACATTGCACATTATAAGAAGAAATTAAACTCTTCAATATTTGATGCTAGGGCAATGAGCTATGATACTGAAAAAATAAAATCAGGTCCTTACTTTATATCACTCACAAAAATTCCTTAGGAATTAAAGCTCTATATGTTTAAAAGAAATTTTAAGACATAAAGTTTTTAGAAGCAAATACAAGACATTATATTGTGCTAGCCATGGGATATTCTCTTAAACAGAAAACAAAGGGAACAAAAAAGGAAAACTTTTCTATTTTGGCTAAGTTAAAATGTAAAACTTCTGGCAAGTAGGAATCTTTAACAAAGTTATACAAAAAATGTGAAATGGCACAACACAAATTTAGAGAAGATAATTACTAAATAAAAGGCTAATATGTAGAGAATATTAAGGACAATTAAAATCAATAGATGGAAGAGAATATAGTAATAGAAAAATATAAAGGAGATAGATAAATTAATCACTTTTCCATGGTTGGGACAAAATTCTCAACACCTGCAATTTAAAGGATGAGAGGTTTACTTTGGTTCACAATTTCAGAGCATTCAACCCATGGCTGGCTGGCTCCAGAACTGACATGGTGGAAGAACATGGCAGTGGAAAGCAGTTTAAGCCATCGTAGCCAGGAAGCAATCAGAGAAAAGGAAGCAGCCAGAAATAAGAATACACCTTTCCAGGTCACAGTCCTCTGGGGACCCAACTCCAGCCAGTTCCCACTTCCTAACAGTGCATTCAATTATGAACTTATCTACTCAGTTCATAATTACTTAATCTACTGCACATAGTGCCTTCATGACCAGATCACTTTCCAAAAGCCTCACCTTTAAGCCTAAGAGACTTCTGTGGGACATTTTAGATTGAAACTGTTATGGCTTGCATTTATATATCCCCTCAAGCCTCATGTGCTCATAGATAGCGCTTTTCAGAGGTTGCTGGATCTAGGATATGTGATCTAGGATTAAGGGCATATGGTACTGGATTAGTCCACTAATTGGTTTATCATAGTTCTAGATGTGGATCATGGGAAGCCCCACCTTTATGTGGGTGGCATCACCCAAAAGGCTTGTAGCCTGGATGGGATAAAATGAAAAGAGATGCTTGCTGCTGCTTCAATGCTGCCTGCCTGCTCTGCCATGAACTGTTTTTCCTCTGTGATGTCCTTTTGCCATGCCACCTTGCCTTGGAGCCAGCTGACTAAAGACTGAATCCTCTACAAAGTATAAACCATGGTGCCACCACCTGCCTTGCAAGTGCAAGGATCCGGGTTCGATCCCTGGTACCAAACAAAACAAAACAACAAAGCAAAGTATAAACCAAAATAAATCTTTCTTTCTTTAACTTTGGGTATCAGGTATTTTGTCTCAGCAATGAGAAAAGTAACTAAGGCAGAAATCATAACATTCTGCCCAAGCCCTTAAAAGGTTCATGTTTATTTCATTATGCAAAATGCACTTTGTTTATCTCATTGTGAAAAATGCACTGTCCCTCTCTAAGAGTCACTAAAGTCTTAACAATTCCAGCATTGCTAAAAAGATTATCCAATGTCTCCTGCAAGACTCAAAGCAAACTCTTGGGTGTGAGCCCTGTATCAATCAAAACAAAAGTTAAATACTTCCAACATACAATGCACAAGATAAACATCCCCATTCCAAAAGGGAGGAATTAGGAGATAGAAAAAAATAAGACTAAAACAAAGCCAAACACATGCAGGGCAAATAGTAAATCCTGCAACTCCATGTCCAGCACTTGGGGCAAGCTGCAGCAAGATATGAGATATAAGTTACAATGGGCTCCACTTCCTGCCTGTATGGACTTGCTGGTTGCAGCCCCTAAGCCTCTCTCTTGAGCTGACTCTGCTCACTGCCTACAGTTTTCCTCAACAGATGTTCCTCAACAGGTGTTTTAACTCCCTGGGCTTTCCACTCTCATTTTCATAGCTTCATGCATCACTGTTTAATGGCCCTCTAAAGCCTTCCTCTGAAAAGTAGGTGGAAGTGTCTATGAACTCTTAACTCTTGCAATCTGCATATCTCCAGAAATAGCAGTAAGTGGATGATATAAATGTTACCAGCTACTAGTTCAAGTAGTAGCTACCACCACCACCACCACCCCGTCACCCTGGCCCCATGTCTGCAGCAGCCTCTGAGTTGCTGGATGGCTGAACTTGGAAAAACACTTCCCTAGATGGCCCTGAGTGAGAAGGGTGCTCTGGGACTCTCTTATCAAAGCAGTCTTTCAAAGTAGTTAACACTTTTATACACTTGAGCCTGTAATGGGTGAGATCTGGATGATTCCTGAGATACTCTCAAGGCATCTTTCCTATTGTCCCAATACAAAATACTTGGATTTGTTTTTAATCTTTTCTCTAACTCTTCTTGACCTCAATTTACACATGCTTATTTTCTGGCCAATTGGAATAATTTTTGCATCTTTCTGCTCTGCTTTTTGCTCCTGATACTATAAATCTGGCTAAAAGAAGACAGAAGTATCCATGCCACTGCATGAATATTGGGCTGCCTTGAAATGTCTTCTACAGTCAATTAGTTCACAGGCCTTAAAATTGGCCTATTGTAAAGTCTTGGTACATAAGCAAAATGTATACAAGTTTTTTGACAGAGTATAACATGCATGACCTCTAGTCTAACTCACAAAATATCCTCTCTTCCAAATGAAACTTTTTGGGCTTGGTCTTTACTGTCTGCATTCCTATCAGCATTCTGATCTTCTGAAATTTGACCAAAATTGCTGTTCAAGCTGTGCTTACAAACTTCTAGTCTATCTCCAGCTTGATTATCCAGACTTTTCCAAAGTTTTCCCACAAACAAGTTCTAAAGGCTTCTGAATCACATTATCAGCTACAGTCACTGCAACAACCCACTTGTCTATATTATTCACTTTATGGTCGCTAGACAACAGGGATACCTGAGAAATAAATGAATGTGGCAAGCCCAACTACTGCAAATATTGAGGAATCTGGAATTTACAGAACAGAATATTAGATAGATAATAGGGTTATATAGAGAAAACCTCAGGGATCAGCAGCATAAATCTTTCCCATCTTTAAGTAAGTTTAGATATCTGTATATCTGTACTGCAATTCCACAAGGATAGTGTAAATCTCCATTAAGAGAGGGAAAAGACCAATGGAAAGCAATAAACCAAATTTTTTTCTGGATCATCCTTGTTATGATTTCATTTCACTCAAATGAAATCCCAGCTACTTGGCAGACTGGAGCAGAAGGATTGCAAGTTCAGCTAGGGAAACTCAGTGAGACCTTGTCTCAAAATAGGAAAATAAAAAAATAGCTGGGTTATAGTTCAGTGGTAGAGCATTTGGTTAGCACACTCAAGCTCTTGAGTTCAATCCCCAGTATCAAAAAAAATTTTTAAATGTTTTTTCTTGGACCTCATTCAGAGACAGTAATAGGGAATCATTTGTGTTCCCACCAGAGCTAGAGACTTATTACCTAGCCACAGTGGCGGCGTATCTATGGTACACATGCTGTAGTGGGCTGTTTGCATCATTAAAAGCTCTAAAAGGTTTGCCATCACTAACATAAGGCACTAGATAGTTGCGCAAGTTCAGCTAGCGAAACTCAGTGAGACCTTGTCTCAAAATAGGAAAATAAAAAAATAGCTGGGTTATAGTTCAGTGGTAGAGCATTTGGTTAGCACACTCAAG